TGGGTTTTTTGAGGGCCTCAACAAATGGTGGCACTGAATGTGATGGAATTTCATACTGCTGTTTTGAATTTTTAAGGTAATTCACAAAGTAAGGAGTTCTTCCAGCTGCACACAGCGCACTTTGGAAGGGATGCTGAGCTGGGCTGCTGTGTGCCTCTGAGCATCTGTTAAATATCTGTTTAAATAAGGGACTGCAAAACTAAGGGATTTTCACAAACTTCCATACAAGTATGAACTATGAACATTGGGTTAAGCCATCCCAGCAAGGAACAGCAGGTCAGATCCTGCTACCAGAAGAAACAGGACACCCAGTGAGCGCTGTCCCTGAAGCAAAGGCAGCCACGTCAATTCAAAGGGCAAGGAGATGCCTTGGGAGACCTGTGCTGGGCTGGAAAGCACGTCTCCTGCTTGGATATTGGTTGTCTTTCACCACAAAACGTCTACTATGAAACTTTGCTCTCAGCTTAGCTTTATCAGAAGTGCAGTGTGGAGCCTCTGAGGTGCAGGTCAGGGACTGACAGGACCCTGAGTACTGACCTGCAGGTCATGGACTGCCTTCCATAAATATTTGTGTAGATGAATCCTGCTAATGGAAGATGAAGAACTGATGTGGATATTTACAGGATCAGAACACAAGGGTTAATTTTGTTGTAAATGTTTTAGAAAAAAAATGCATCCCACTAAGAAAACATCACTGGCACCATGTGCCAATTCAGTATTTCTTACCGAGCCCCACTCACGTGTAATAAATACAAACTTTGAGGTTGCTTAATTTCAGCAACTTTTTTTTCCTTGACCCAGATATAAACAAGCTTTTACTGTTGGGACATGAAATGGTCCCACAGCAGTACTCATTTCCCCATCATTTATTTCTGAATTAGAATGGGGGAGGTTTTCTTCTTTCTTTCATTACCTGCACTGATAGTGTTCTGCATTACCTATAAGCTCGGAAGTTTTCTTCCATTCCTGGTCTGCTTTCTCCATTAATTTAGGGTATAACTCTGGCTAAATCAAACTGAAGCTTTTAAAACATAAATGGTGGCTTAGGGTTGGCATTAGTAGACAAGAATAAATCCTCTTTTTATGAGGTTTTTTTTTTTTAATTAAAGGTAATTTTGTTTAAAGAAATAGAAAATGAAATTTAAAGAGTGATGCTGGAACATATGTTAATTTCAGGTAATTAATTTAATTGGAGGGACAGATGATGAGTGAGAAACAGCCCTGTCCGGAGTCCCAGACAAACACTTTGGGCTGGTTCTGTTAATTGATTCATTAGCATCTTTTCATTCTCTGCAGGGAAGAGAAATTAGGAAAAAAAGAAGGGGGGGTTTTAAAGAAAAGAGGAATCAGTGAAAGACAGGGAAAAACATGAAGCATATGAGGAAGAAAAGCATCCTGAGGTAGATATTTAATGTAATTCCCTCAAGTTGGAATTAAACTATTTTACCCACAAACTGAGTTTGCTCCCTGTTGATGCGAACTGGTTTCTTGACAAATTACTGGGCCTAAGCTTAACTTGAAATGATATTTCTTCAGGGCCACAGGTGAAGAACCAAAGATTCCCCTCCCAGTGAGGCTGATGGGGGTCCCTCGCTCGGTCTCCCCATGAGCAGTGACCTCAAGCTCCGCAAAGCCAGCGCCCAGCATTCCTCTTTGCATCACTGAGGCACAGCACAACAAAAACTCTTAGGTTTTTTTTTTTTTTGGTGCATTTTCTTCTTAACTTTTCCATTCACACGCAGGTATTTCACCAGTAAGCACGTTACATAAGGAAGTCCCACATCAACACAGGCATCTGGCAAGTGCTGCTGGTTGTGGGGGCGAGGCGTTAAGTGTGGCTGGGCTGATGCTGGCAGAAGGCTCACGGCTGTATGTGTGTGCATGGCCCCATGGCCAGAGGCAACCACCTGGTTACACGAGGTTTCTCTGTGCATCCATTTCACCAAGACATTCATTCCACACATGAATTCTGACTCAAACCCATAGATCATCAGCTTACCATCAGAGGAATGTTTTATAGTCGGCAAGATTAAGATGTGTTGAGCATTAAAGCTACATCCCTGGAAATCACAGTAACTGCTAACAATCTTTTTGAAATAGAGCAAATTACCTTTAGTTTTTACTGCCAGAGAGGAGAATGTCCATTTCCAAAATATGAATTTTTATTATCATTTTATCTCTCTCTGTTTTTATGAAGCAAAAGCTATGAAGCCATTTCAAACGTAAATTACTTGAAAGTTCTCCTTCTTAATTCCCACCAGAACTAAGCTCAGCTCCTCTAGATCAAAGTGTTTTGAAGTTCATTTTCCATGCCTACACCGAAACAATTATGATATTTTTCACATCTAAGGAACAGAGCCTGGAAATCTGAAGATCTGAACACTTTAGGACAACGGTCCTACCTTTACTGTGTCACATACTCTGCATTTTATGGATGAAATTCTCATTCAAGAGCTATAATTCCTTATTTAATTCATCTTTGCCTTCTCCTGAAATGTATACCTAGAAAAGCATTCACAGAAATGTTACAACCAACAGTGAAACCGACCACCCTAAAACCACCATCAGTTTGGGGCCCTTCCATCAGTTCCACTCCCATTGGAGCTCTGGGTGTTCAGTGATTTCTCACTTTCATTCCCAATCTGCAAGTGCCCCAAATTCTCCCACTTAGCAAGCACTGGAAGCAATGCAGAGAGAGCTGCAAAGCTGCTGGATCTCTGTGAGAGGCAGGGAGTTTTTTGTCTAAAACGGACCTGTTCCAGTCAGCATACATCATGTGAATTGAGCTTTCAAACTCGAGCCGAGCTCCCAGCTCCCAGCCCATCAGGCAGGACGTGGTGGGGCCATTCGGGGCCCCTGGGACCTGCGTTCACTTCCCAGCTTTCTGCAGCTTTCCTGGGTAGGGCTCTGGGGAGCAATCTTCTTCCTTCCCAGCACAGTTCATCTTCTGCACAGGAATAACATACCTGCTAATTCACACTGCTCTGGGAGACCAGGGCAGTAAAACTTGCAAACATATGAGAAATAGAAAAGCATGTAAATGTGATTCAAGCTCCATCTGAAGTTCCTAACTACAGTTTCTCTTCTTTCGCTTTCCCTTGCTAATGTTTCCCCAGAGCTGCTCTCCTGAGTTCCTTGTGCAGTCACCAAACTGCCCGCATTTCCAGGTCAGCAATCCCCACTTTACTTCCCTTATGGAGAAGAGGGGTTACACTGTTAAGATACAGTCTGTAGTTGTTTCATGTCCGTGACATGACTGAATGAGGAGCTGTACTGGAAAAGGTCTCTGGGATCAGGACAAAGCAACAGTCAGCATTTACAGAAGGCAGGAAAGTCTGTTTACAAAGGGCAACCAGAAGGTTTGAATGCTTTAGCAAAGTGACCACAAACAAGCACAAATCAGTGCCGTGTTGCTGGGTTTGGGAATTCGGTGTTGTCTCCAGTCTTCTGTCCCCAGGGAACCACGAGGCTGCTGATAAAGGCTTGGTTGGTAAATGGCATCAGTGCTGCTTCTTAATGCCAAGGCAACATGAATTCACAGGAAACATTCTTTCAAACTGATGAGTTTCTTTTCATCAAGAAAATTGGCTGGTGAAGGTGGCAGTGCTGAGCACAGGCTTCGTAGTTGCGTCCTGCGATGACTAAGAAGGCATCTGACAAATGAAGATACATTTCAGACAGCATACGATGCACAGCTGAGTTTTTGAAAGAGCCCACATCTCCCAGGTATCACTCACAGACATGGCTTTTGGAGGAGCCACTCCCATGGGATGGGTGGGCTTGGTAGCAAGGCTGCTGGCATAATGGTGTCACGGTGCTGATGCCCATAATGGTGTCACGATGCTGATGCCCATAGTGGTGTCACGATGCTGATGCCCATAATGGTGTCATGGTGCTGATGCCCATAATGGTGTCACGATGCTGATGCCCATAATGGTGTCACGGTGCTGATGCCCATAATGGTGTCACGGTGCTGATGCCCATAATGGTGTCATGATGCTGATGCCCATAATGGTGTCATGGTGCTGATGCCCATAATGGTGTCACGATGCTGATGCCCATAATGGTGTCACGATGCTGATGCCCATAATGGTGTCACGATGCTGATGCCCATAATGGTGTCATGGTGCTGATGCCCATAATGGTGTCATGATGCTGATGCCCATAATGGTGTCATGGTGCTGATGCCCATAATGGTGTCACGGTGCTGATGCCCATAATGGTGTCATGGTGCTGATGCCCATAGTGGTGTCATGATGCTGATGCCCATAATGGTGTCATGATGCTGATGCCCATAATGGTGTCACGGTGCTGATGCCCATAATGGTGTCATGGTGCTGATGCCCATAGTGGTGTCACGATGCTGATGCCCATAATGGTGTCATGGTGCTGATGCCCATAATGGTGTCACAGTGCTGATGCCCATAGTGGTGTCACGATGCTGATGCCCATAATGGTGTCATGGTGCTGATGCCCATAATGGTGTCACGATGCTGATGCCCATAATGGTGTCACGATGCTGATGCCCATAGTGGTGTCATGGTGCTGATGCCCATAATGGTGTCATGGTGCTGATGCCCATAATGGTGTCATGGTGCTGATGCCCATAATGGTGTCACGATGCTGATGCCCATAATGGTGTCATGATGCTGATGCCCATAATGGTGTCACGGTGCTGATGCCCATAGTGGTGTCATGGTGCTGATGCCCATAATGGTGTCACGGTGCTGATGCCCATAATGGTGTCATGATGCTGATGCCCATAATGGTGTCACGGTGCTGATGCCCATAATGGTGTCATGGTGCTGATGCCCATAGTGGTGTCACGGTGCTGATGCCCATAATGGTGTCATGGTGCTGAAGCCCATAGTGGTGTCACGATGCTGATGCCCATAATGGTGTCACGGTGCTGATGCCCATAGTGGTGTCACGATGCTGATGCCCATAATGGTGTCATGGTGCTGATGCCCATAATGGTGTCATGATGCTGATGCCAGCTCTGTCACTGCTGCCTTGCTGCAAACAGGAGGAGCAGCACACGAGCTCTTACCCACGGCTTAAACACTGCATCTCATCCACAGTACATCAAACCCTGTGGAGGCCTCATTCACAACCAGACCTAATATTCAAAATTTAGAAACGCCATCTGGTAGAGACTTTGTTAAGTAAAAATATCTTATTACTGAACATAGATCTTGGAGAGAGCTCGCTTTCTTCCCTTATGCATCTGATCGTATTTAACTGGACAGCCACATCTCAGTACTTCTGGAATACCTCCAAAGGTTTCTGACATGGGGCACATTCCTAAGCTGTAGAAAAAGAATCAGCTGTATTATTAATGTGAAACTAGTAGTAACTCATGACATTTGAGTTATGTTGCTGCAAGGTGTCTTTTTACCAGCTTTGTTTCTCCTGGTAAACAGCAAGTCCTCTAATTGCAGATATAAATCTGTTGAGGTATGAATGCACGGTTGAAAGTGATGAAAATGTTTAATAAAGTATGTCCCAGAAACAGAGAGCATGACTAGGTTGAACACGTTGACCACAGGGCTTGGGTATGGTGATAGAAGCTCACACCTCAGGGCGGCCACACTTACAACAGATCAATGGAATGGGGAGCAAACACCAGGTCTGCTCAGTATGACAGTCCTAAGAGATCCGATAAGGTGTAAAAGTCCTTTTTAGCAGTACAACTTCTGATGGCCTCTTATAACAGGGAAGAGAATAGATCACATGCACCTTGCTTACAAACTGCAAACATCCAGTTTGGGGTTTTTCCAGTGAAGTTTTAAGAAGTCATGGTTAACTTTCATGGTCTGAATTTCAACAGTTCGAGCTCTTATGACAGACCCCTGTAAAACAAAAAACAGCTCAGAACAGTGGTTTTTTTAGGAAAAAAAAGGGGAAATCACTGTTTTTAAAATTCTGTCCAGCTCAACTATTTTACAAAAGCCATAGAAACTTTATCTGAAATGGTGTCTCTGTTTTGGTTTCAGTCTCATACAGCATTTACTTATTTATTACTTGTTTGTTGTTACTTTTGGCTGTGGATAAAGACAGATTCTTTTCATTAAGGTTGATTATTCTAATTGTGGACTCCCTGTATTTCACCAGCACAACTTCTCTAGTGTCACAGACCCCTTCAACTCACGGGCACCAATAAACAGGATGAGATAAAGACAGTAGAAGTACCTGAAGTCTGCACTTGTCCCTTCTGAGCATAGGTTGTGGAATGGGTAATGACAGTTCTGGCCTTGGAATAAAATAGATGGTAGGCTCAGTATAGAGCACAAGCTGGATTTCAGGGCTCATAGTTATTAGGCACTACTGCATTTTGTCCCCAGATCTCTGTCCCACCTGAAGATATTGCTTTCAGCTGGATCTGCAGCCAGTGCCTTTCCCAGTGCTACAGGCATTTAGCGATGGAGCATAACATGGAAACTGCTTCTCTTTAACGATAACAGAGGTGTTCCTGCCACACAAGTTTTCAATATGATCTCATCTCTTACTCAGCATTGAAGAAAACAGAGGTAGATAGCTGTATCTATGGCAGCTAACATCAACCCCTCCTCACAGACCTCTGCTTAATCCTACATCAAGCAAACCCCACCAGCAAGCATCAAAAAACAAGCAAGAAACAAAAATCAGGTGCAGGCATGGCAATTTTCGTATCAGTTCCCTGGACCGAGTGCCACTGAAGATTAAACCAATAAAAAAGGGTTTTTATGAGGAAACTTGCACGTGAGAGGAGCAAATCGGCAGAAGAAGCCCGAGCTGGCGTGCGGTCCTGAATTAATAGCTTAATGTAATTCAGTTCTTGCTGGTTGCCTGGAAACTAACATGGAAAAAAAAGTGAAAGCACAAACCATAATGGGTGTAGAGGGCTTAATAAGGAATTACCGATGCCAATAAACTGTTAGACAGCCTGATGCATTTCTAACAAAATCACTCAAAACGCTCCTTTGTTATTATATGTTATTCTTAATAACAAGGTTCAAGGCCAAAGAAGAAGCAGCGCTCGGTGCTGGCAGTTTGGGCAGCTGCAGTGCTGATGCTGGGACTTGACCCTGAACTCACGGCAGGCCGGCCGCTCCTTTGAAGCATCAGCTAACTGAGGTTCTCTGCCAGAAAAAGCAATGAGGCACTTGTGCCTTCCTCACGGAGTCGGCTGTCTGGAATCAGCCCTGCAGCTCTGCTCAAACCTGGGGTCGAGTTTATGAATGCCAGCTTCCAATGAAACTGCTTTCTGAGGCAGGCCTGGCTGTTTGCCCACACTGGTTTTGGGAAAGTTTCAGTGAATCCTCTTAGCTGCATCCATGGCAGAACAGTGACAGACCCCAACCAGCCTCTTGTCGTTCCAAAGATGGACAAGTCCTCTCCTGGGATGGAGAATCCCACTGGGGGCTGCAGAAGATGCTCTTGGAGTACCAGCCCAGTGCCACGCTGGTTTCACAGTGTCCAACGCATCCCCCCAGCACTGGCTTCCCATCTTGAAAGAGTTGCTTCAAGAAAGCAGTTTTTATCCTGATTATTTTTGACAGATATCAGGTAGTTTAATTAGTTTGAAATTCAGGTGAACGACCACCTCTCTCCTGTAATTCATCTTCAACACTGAAAGAGGAAAACACCGTTAAAATGAGCTCTGGCCCATCAGAGGCCATCCACAGCCACCCAAATAGACCAATTTTGTGCTGCAAAGACAAATCCTGGCTGGTTTTGGGGGGGTAAGACTGATCATGCCAGGAACAGCTTTGGAAACAGATTTCTCTCTTCCTAATGTGCAAGAGATGCATAATGTGGATCGTGATATAGAAAATATTGTAAAATATAACAGTGTAAAACTAATTTTAAGTCTGCTACTGATTTATCTGTTATTTTGAGATATCCAATAGATAAGAGCATTTTAAATAGTCTCTAAATAAAGCGAATCATTACTTCTTACTAAAAAGGGAGCTTTTAAATGATCCAGTTACTGAAAAAACAACAAACTGTAATTTCTTCTGAAATTTCACAGTTCCCTCTCCCCTCTGTAAGCAATCTACAGTAATAAAGTATAAACACAGAGATCAAGTGTCACGACGAAAATGCTTAACAGCTTAAAAATGGTACATTAAACCCCTACAATCTTGGGTAAGACAAACAAAATCATAAACTCTTTTTATTGCAATTCCTGACAAACTGTGGATATAAATAGGATTTAACACAACGAACTTATTTGTCAGTCTTACCCTGTTATTCAGAAATTCTCTTCTCCATGTCTGTCTTTTTATGGCTTCTTAATCCAGCACGACAGGAAGGTGAGACCATTTCTGAGTCTTCGGTCAGGAGAGGTCTTCATGTGGATTCTGGAAAGGATGGAGGGGACGCTGTAGCTTTCAAGCTTAGAAGCTGGACAACTCCTTCAGAGCAGGCTGCTCTCTGATCTAGAGGCTGTACAGCAGAGTTCCCCAAATAGCCACCCAGCCCTGGAACACCCAGCTGTGTGATGAAGCAATGGCTGATGCAGCCTTTTTGCTGCCAGGTGCTGCGTTTGTGCTCGCGATGCACGGCTTAATGACCGTGTTGTAGCTGTCGGTGGAAGCACAGGTTGTAAATTCTCCCATAGGTATTTTTATTACAACAAGCACTACAGCTTAAGCCTATTGAGAAGGCATTTAATGAAAACACCCTTGCCTCCACATGCTCCCTCAGGCCATGAAGCAGAACAGTAAAGAAGCACACAGCTGCTCACTGATGGTAGGACCCGACCCCAAGCATGGAGCTCACAGGACTGTGGCCCACAGATATTCTAAAGAAGTTCCAGTATTCCAAAAACTCATTAGCTAAAACAGCCACATGCTGGAAATTATTAGTCTCTGCCTTATTTGAAGTGAGTTTCACCAAATAAAGCAAGTAAGGACAACCTTGACGTCTATCATAACTGTTTGAAGTGTGTATGCGTGATTTCACTGTCAGGTTGGGCTGCTTGCAGATGGCGTGGTGAAGTCAGACAGCTAGGGAATGTCAGATTTTTTTGTTCTGTTTCATAGCTGTTTTGTTGTGTGTTTTTTTTTGTTACTGTTATTCAGACGAAGGTGACGTGAGAAGCAGAAATAATTTGACTTGACGCTGTTATCTGAAGCCCAGTTGAAAGTCTTGCAGTCACCAGACTCAGATGTGACCTCTGTGCTGGCCAAAACAGTCTGAGGAGTCCTTGAGATGGAACGGCTGAGAACAAACATGGGCTCTCGGATGCTATTTTTGTACATTCATTTCCCTGACTTTAACCACACTGTAGCTACTGAAAATATATGTGATTAGCCTGAAGATGTTATGCCAGCAAACTACAGCTCAAGACAACTCTCATCAGAACGTTTTAATGTAAATTGCTGTCTCCTTATTGTTATCTAAGGAATTAAGCTGATTTATTGAAGTTCAGGAGCCCTCTTTTCGTTTGTAAACCTTTTATGGTGGACGTAATGAGAAGGGCTCATGAGCCTTTTCTTCTGGAAGGAAGAAGATGTCCTCCTGAAGTTCAGAAATGTCAAAGTCTTTTTTTATTTTTATTTTTTATAGCTGCTGGAATAAGTCACTGCTTATTGCTATTCTGCATATTAATTCATAGGTTATATATACTGCTATTGATAGCCAGAGCAGGAAGTCCCAAAATCTAACATTTTTAATGGGAATGTTGGCAGGTCCTTTATTATATCAAAGGGAGAGGTGGTGTTAAAAATTCACATATCAAAAACTATCAACACATGATAAATAGATGGTGAACTGTTCGTGTCGCACCACTTATTAAGTTGGTACCATAAATTATTACACCATAAAAATCGATGTTTATTTCAGTCTTTCACTCTTTCCATATTGCTTCAGCTACTTTCCAGAACTCACTTAAAAACTACAAGAAGAAACAGAAAAGCAGAACTGCTGCCATGGCCCAGCAGTGGCTGCGGAGCCATCGACGGAGCCTGCACACACTGTGCCTACACCCCTCCCAGTGAGTGCCATGCAGGGCTGTGTTCTCCTACAGTCACAGCAGCAGCATTTAAGATATTCTCTGGGTTGGCTTTTTTTTTGCATTTGTTATCTTGGTAATGGCACGGTTGTGTTACTGCAACTTATCACATTAGAGCACTCTGCCAACCTTTCCATTATTCGCCTAAACTTCAGCGCCGAGTCGTGAAGAATGACTGCATCGCTTTGTTTGCTATCTGTGTGCACAGCACCAGGGATTTGGGTGCTTTGAAATGCCTCCTCCATCCGGAGAGAAAGAATCCTTTTTCTGTGGCACTTCTCAGCCACGGCAGCAGCATCCATGGGTACAATGCGCCGCGATGGGCAGGGAGCTTGCTGACACAGCACAGATCCTCATTCAGAAGGAATTATGCTTCAGCCACACTTAGCTTCTCAAAACACTCTCTAGCTGTGAGTACATTGCACAGTTAACTTCTCGCTGGAAAATCAGGAGCAGCGAAAGCAACAGCGGATTTCCAAGGGAAAACAGTGCTGCACCCCTGCGTGCATTGCACCGTTATGCGTGTGGTCAACAAACATCGTCCTGCACCCATCCGTTGGGAAAGATATTGCATGCACATCGAGCACCAGCGTGGCAGATTCCTCTAACAGTTAAACACAACAAGAGAAATAGGTTGGCTATGTTTCCATAGTTTTACACTCATTAGAGTGTAAAAAGACTTTGTACATGACTTGTTTCTGCCAGTTTGGTTTCAGCTCACGCTAAGCACGAGGCGCACACCGGTGTGATGTGATTTCCCTGCTTTGCTTTGCCTACAAGCCTTCCTCACACTCAGGGCACTTGCCTCTCTGTCTTCCCCTGCATAGCTCATGGTGCCTTTCTGCATTCCCTGAAAGAGGAGGATCTACCAAATACCATGCTCAATATACAAGCCGGTTAAAAAAAGAACCTTCTTCCATAATGACCACAAGACCTGAATTTATTGCTGGAATGTCAGAGATCTCACAAACAGCAGCAGCAAAGAGTGCATTATCTTTACCTCTGTGTTTGAAGCATATCCACTCTTCTATGAAATTTTATGGCAGATGGATTCAAAGGGGAAAAAGCAACAGGCCTCAGAAGCTTTTATGATTCTTCTTACCTCATCTGTATTTGCAAAACACTGCAAGCCGGACCATGTTCTGCCTGTTTTTATGCTTGTTTTTACAGCAGGGCACACAGTTTGCCATAAATAATAGAACTGAAGAGCAGAAAGTTATCAATAACCCTGATACAGCTAAAAGCTGTAAGAAGTGATTCCAGCATTCACAGTAAGCGAGTCGGCTGTTCTGATTCTGACAGGGCAGGCAGCAAATCCCAGTGGCCAGGGGGGAGGAGGCAGCTGGCTTCAGGTTTTAATTATGATGTGCGATGGATTTTCATGACAGCAAAACTATCTCCCATTCTCAGTCATTTTTCTTGCTCATAAAACACACATAAAATCCTTGCTGACCCAAGCAGGGAGCCCTGTGGGACCCTAACAGAACAGCAGGAGCTTTACGTAAGTACTGCGCTTTGAGGTAATAATGGGGTGCCACCTTTTGGATGGATAATTTCTTCATGAAAGAAATATTCCTGTGTGAAACTCCTTCATCCCCTAACAAACATAGTATGGAAAATATCTATAAACACAAAGCAATCCATTAAACATAAGCAACCCCCCAGCAAAGCAAAGCTGCACAAGTGCTGCTTATGGGCACTAGGTGGCCATGCAAAACGTGGTGCCAAAAACCCCTCTTCCAAACACTGGCTGGAGCCAGCACACCAAACCTGATGTGTTACATTCCCATGTCCCAGCACATCGGTGTGCCCAGCAGCCTGTCCTGGCAGGGCACGGAGTCACTGAAGCTCTGGGCAGCAGATCAGAGCAAGCTGTGCCTTCCAATGCCGACCAGCTGGGGCATTTGCAGCACTTGGCCAATAGAATGATACTATTCTTCCTAGAGATGCTATCACATGTTTATTTAAAAACTAAAGCCTGTATTTTGGAAGAAGTCTGAAAGTTCAAACATTTAACTTCACCAACCTTTAAAAAAGAGTGAAGAAGAACGCATGTCTGCCTGTAGCTCTAACAACTTCATTTTAGACTATTTATACAGTGGGAAAAGAGGAAGTCTATTGTTGGTCTCCCAGGCAAGCGCCTCAGATCTCAGACAAGTTCTCCTAGCCTATCCAGAAGAAATGAACACTTCTATAGGCTACTTGTTAGCCGTGCTCTGAGGGATCACAGGGCCCAGAGGTCAAACACCTCCGTGCTTTTCACTGTGCAACCATCGGAGCAGCTCTCCCAGCTGTGACATCCAGGGATCGTTTTGCAGAGGAGCCACAGACAGAAGCAGACTCGTTAGTCCAGCAGGAGGAAGGTGCTGAGTACGAAACAGGATCTTTCATTCTGCACTCTACCCTATTACCTCCAATTTATATCATCTTCCTTGCTTTACATAAGCAGCAGTCTGCGGTGTAAATCAAACCCGCACAGCTACTTGCTATGGAGAATTGCTCTTCATTGCTGGGCTTTTGACATGAAAAAATATCTTTGCATTAAAATCAAAAGAACAATCTCCGAGGAGTGTCTTCTCAGCACTCAGACAATCATAACAACAGGGCATGGTAATAAATGAAAAATCATGCAATTTCCTTCTCCATGCAGTTGGAAAGGTTTAACTAATTAAACCAATTATTCTACTATAATGAAACAAAATTAAAGGTGGTGGTTTTTTCTTCCCCCTCGAAATATACAAAATCAAAAACTGCAATCTAACCTAATCTTGCATTTAAATCTCTCTGAAGGATATGTGCCAGTGCTGCTCTAGGGCAGACATGTAATGAATCACTCAGACACCACATCCACTGCCTATGCCACTACTGCTTCGTCTATTCTTTCTGTGCTTTGTTGGGGTTTGTTGCCCATCCCTTGATGTTTACACACAATAGTCCAATTTCTCACCCTCAGGAGCAAGTTTCCTGGCAGCCTGGGGTGGCAGTTGAGGTCTCCCAGGTGCTGAGGTCTGTCCCTGTGGCAGGGCCATCACTGCAGCCCAGCCTGTGTCACAGCCCCAACCAGCCCTACCCTGGCCTGCCAGGAACCGAGCTGGGTGTGCTTGGATCTGTTGGGGAAGATGGATGGGCTGAGGTGAGAAGAAGACAAGGCTCCAGGCTTTGTCCATCCCATTATGTTCAGTGAAGAGTGGAAACGTAACACGACTTTCTCCCTTGGCCTGGATAAAGCATCCTTCAGAAACAGGCAATGCAACAGTGCAAAGATAAACTCGTGAAGTTTATCACTGTTTTAGAAATGCTCATTTTTGTTCATGTAATCTTCTTTCTACCAATCTTCATAAGAGATTTTAGTTGCATGAATGATGTCTCTAAGTCTGTATATCTAGTCCCTCAGCTTAAAGTAATGCTACATTTTGTGCTCTTAAGCAGCTGATATTGCTTGTACCAAAATCAAAGTTAAAAGAAGTTGAAAAGTTGCAGCCTCGGTGATGGCAGCTGGCAGGATAACAGCAGCATTACTGCTTCTGCTGTCAAAGGACAACCAAAAGTAATGCATACAGCTGTGCAAAAGCTCTCCCTGTGACCAAAGCTCAGCCTGCAAGCCCTGTGTGTGTGTGCATACATCACACTGCTTCACTGTGCGTGCCTTGGCACAACTGCAAGGCCCAAAAATCACTGCTGCAGGGGCAGCAAAGTGTGCATGGACAAAAGAAGGGAAGAGGCAGAGCTCCTGGGCACCTCAAAATGGTTCCAAAGAATGTTTAACAATCAGGTGATAGGTGCTTTATATATAAAAATATAAATATATATTAAAAAATCATACCTTTTGAGGTGCTGGAGAAAATGAATGGCCAGTTTCACAAGGCAAAGCCCTTTTGCAGGTCGTTCCCAAACATACTCCAAATGTAACTTCCTTACAAAGTATGCTGTTGTTTGGCAGGGTCCCTATAAGTTGATGCCTCAGGTAATTATTTCATATTACAGATATTATGTTACATTAAAAAAGAAAATTGCTTGAATGTATCTTATTTTAAATCTAATTTTTTTTTTTTTACATTTTCTGATTGTTTGACCTTCACATCTCAGCTCACAAAACTTTGCTAGCAAAGCCAATCATTTGCCCATGCTGCACAATGGCAAATCTGACTGCAAAACAGTGTTTGTGACATCTATTTATAGCAGATGCAAAATCCCCACAGGAAACTGGTAAATCCCCTCCTCTGTATTCAGATATCAGGGCCAGAGCACCATATTTACTATGAAGGAATAGGGCTTCATTACCTGATCCCGGTGATTGACGTGATTCCCATGTAATCTTTCAGATAAATGATTCCTCCACATCTCATTTACATAACTATTTTATAACAGTGTGAATTAGTTCTTCACACTTCTGCATGTCTCAAACATGATTTTTTTTTTAACTGAGCAATAGGAACACCTATCAAATAAAAACGATCTCTGAACATCATAGGATACAACCAGTGTTAAGTATCTCCTAATAAGCCACATATTGATTCTCTTTAGGCAATTAGAAGGTTCCATTTTTCCCATCAATTCCTTCACAATGTAAATACAGACAAGAAAATCCAATCTGCACGCAAGAAGTGAGCAGAACACAGGGCACATCTCATAGGGCACCACAGAGAAAAGCAGCAGCTGGTGATGCAGGTGGAATATGATACAGATATAAAACCAGAATGCTCAAAAAACTTGCATTTTCAGCACCAACACTGGATTCCCAGAGCATCACCTTTCTTTTCCCCCCCCATCAAACAGCTTCAGACTAAACTCAAAAAACAACTTTACCTGTAGACTTGGAAGAAATTGGAGGCAAGATAATCCATTACTTTCAAAGTAATCTGTTTTTCCTTAGATTACTTCCTTCAACTTTAATCTGAAGATGATTTGAAAACAGGCTTATGACCATGAGCATGCACTATGGTGGTGCCAGAGCAAAGGACTGCATCTCGGGAGGATCAGCAGCAGATGCCTTCATGCCTGTGACCACAGAAACACTTTTTCAGTAGGAAACAGCTGCTCAAGGGTCCAGCAAAATCTTGCTCTGGGTGAAGACTGCAATTGAGAACCTGGGAAGGTTTTGTTGGCATGAATGGATGCAATTAGCCACAAAGCTCTCACAGTTCACCTGCCGTAGAGATCTAAGGCTCTTCTGTCACCAAAGGACTTCAATTTCTCTGAAAGAAAAAGAAATACACTTACAGAGACAGGACAAGGGGAAATGGCTTTAAACTGAGACAGGGGAGGTTTAGGTTGGATATTAGGAGGAAGTTTTTCCCCCAGAGGGTGGTGAAGCACTGGCACAGGCTGCCCAAGGAGGCTGTGGATGCCCCATCCCTGCAGGCATTCAAGGCCAGGCTGGATGTGGCTCTGGGCAGCCTGGGCTGCTGGTTGGCGACCTGCACACAGCAGGGGGTTGGAACTGGATGAGCATTGTGGGCCTTTGCAACCCAGGCCATTCTGTGATTCTATGATAAAAATTCTATGATTAAATTTTTTTGAGGAACAAAATATGAGACCAGAGCAGAAGTTAAATATACAAGATAATGATGCTTATTCAAATACAAGTATTCCAACCTTGTTTTCAGTTTAGAATCATCGCTGCTCAACAGGTTTTTGTGGCCACAGACTGTCCAACAGTGTGCCATATAAAAAGAATTTTAACTCAGAACTATTTTAATTTCAAAAGCGTTCATAAATCAGGCTTCAAATGAGCACTTCATGCTGCTATTTAGCTAGCACTTGCCAGCAGCAAGGTGTGGAGGAAAGAGCAGGGAGGTACAAGATCCATCAGAGAGAAGAAATCTCATTTGCTCTTAATTTTTCATTTTTCAGAGCTCTCTGCACAGCCCCACACCTGGGAGTTCCGAGGGGACACAGCCCCGTTCTGGGCTCTCAGGGCTCCCAGGATTCATGTTCTCTATGAGAGCTGAGGTCTGGCCCAAAGATGTGTCAGTAACAGCCCCTCAGCACCTCGCACCCCTCCGACACATCACCTCATCCCAGTGGCTCCCGGCTGCATGCATGGCACTGTGGGTTGGCGGGGCCATGGCCGGGCTGCAGAAGGCATGGGGCAAGGAGCCTATGAAATAGCAATCCCTACCATTAACAGCAGCCAATTCCAGGTGTTTTTAAATATTTGATGGTAATGGCGGACGGTAATAGGAGATTGTGTGTGATGATAAATGAGAAGCAGCCCTCCACGTGCAAGCTCTTGCTCTGCTCTTTAAAGAACAAAGCTCTGCCGTTACTCACTGCCATCACCAGGAGTAGGGCATGGCCTCTCAGTGATGGGGAATGCTGGTGGTCCCTCTGGGCTTCGAGTGGGGCTGCTACCAAGTTGGACACAGCACATCCCAGAAGTGAGGCCAACGATGCTCAGCTATTTCTGTACCAAGCCTTGCTCCGTTGCCATGGCAGCGCAGCGCCCAGCCCCAGCTCTGCTGCCTGCATGCATGCAATCTGGAATTTCATCTTTTCCACACAAATGCGTGCACAATTACTTCCTTATCTGATAGAGAATACCAGCATTACTTCACACTCACCACACGTTGACTTATTTCAGCGTGATAGTGCTCTTCACGTGTACGCTGACAGCTGGGTGGTGTTTTGCATAATTCATATTTCTGTATACTATATGGAGTCTTACATAAAAGCATGACATTCACTGAAATGTAAAAATAAAAGAAAAAGCAAAAAGCACCACCAAAAATCAAATTAAAAAAAAAAAGATGTAACCACAGAATCATTAGCAGTATACAAAGCAGAGCCAGAAAGATGAAGAGTTCCCCAACGAGATGACTTTGCTCCCTGCAATAGCACAAAATTACAGAACTTGGTGTCAGCACCGCTGTAACTCTGTGAGTTCAGTGGGAATACATCTCCCCTAGACTTGTTGTTGCTGGCAAACAGCACTGTGCATTAAGGATACGCTCATTTACATTCCTTTCAAGCTGATGCCAGTGTCCTCTTCACAACATTTTTTTTTAAAGACTTGGCGAAATTTGCATAAACTATGTAAAATTGTCACCTCTTACAAACCAAAGATTACGATGAATCCCAGCACTTTTCCCCTTCTCCTGGCACCTGCGACACACCTGGCCAGAGGTGGCTGGCATACCTTCAGCCCCAGTCTCTGAGGGCTCTTCCCATGCAGAAGGTGCTGCAGTGTGAGCCAGGGGCTGTTGGGGGAGCTGAGCCCAAGGCCCCACTGCAGGCTGTCCCCCGCACAGTTCTGAGCTCAGCCGCCCCGTCCCCGTGGGAGGAAGGACCTGGAGCTTCCATCACCATCCTCGTCATCACGAGGGATTTTCTTTCTTTGGATCAGCCTACGTGACACCGTGCCAAAACAAGCAGCCATCCTTAACTCCCATTTCTATCTTTTGAACAGCAGAAGAAAACATATGCAAAATATACTCGGATTATTCAGAAAGCTTAAAGTAGGCAGTTTCTGCTTTGGACATTGCAAAGAGAAAAATAACATTCTCCAAAAACAAAGTTGTTTTTCTGAGCAAAACCCACAAATGCTGTGCAAGGTGTTTCACTGCTTCCGTCCACAGATGGAACCCATGGGCAGCTCCATCAGCTGCGGGGGCTTGGGCTGCCCAGCCACAGCACAGCTCCAAGCAGCCACAGCAGAGAGTTCTTCCCTGGAGCCTGGTTGATTTAATTTACCCAGCTTTTATTTTTAATCCATATTTTGGAGTCGCAAGGACAATCTGGAGCTGCTTGCACAGGAGTTCAGGCAGCGGTGTTCAGGGCAGAAGCCTTTGCCTGCTGACAGAAACCAACCCTCCCTGCTTCAAGGACCTGGGCTCCTCTGGAGCCACACAGGAGCATCTGCAGAGCAGGAGGGAGAACGTGCAGTTGGTTAACACCCACTGCACTCAGTACCCCTTTACATTTTAAGGCTTTATTTCCACCTCACACACGGTGGGATCTCCAGCAACACCTTGGCTCAAAACAGAGCAATTCCAGAAGAAAAACCCATCCCTGCCCTTGCATGAGAACACAACCAATGGTCAGACCCAAACTGGAGCCAGCCTCTCCTCTCCCATCCATCTGCAAAGCAGGAGGCAGCTCAGCAGTTCCTCCACCCCACAGGCTCTCTCAGCCTTCATGCAGAGCCAAGAACTCCCACAGAAACATTTTTATATCTCAAGACTGCTTGACAATAACCTAAACACTACACTTTCCTGCCAAACAGAATGCCTTCATGGAGGCTTTGGCGCAGGCTGAATATTGCCAGCCCCTCCATGGGCTGAGCCCCCCACACCTCCTGGCAGCAAGGGTGAGGGGCAGGTCCTGGTCTCTCAGTATGCACTTGGTCAGGAAAAAACTCCAAAAAAAAAAAAAAAAAAAAAAAACCAACAAAAAAAAAACAACAAAAAAAAAACAAAACAGAGAGAGAGAGAGAAAGCAATGGAGATATTCCAGTACTGAAAGTAAATCAGAGAAGCAAAATTAGAAACAATCTGTGTTTCAAAATGTGGTCAACAGAATGCATCACGATGGCAGCTCTTGTTAGAAGCAACAAGGGATGCTTCCTGGCGGTGCCGAAGTGGTGCTGTTCAGTGCATCAAAATGCAATCTAGGGCACCAAATTGAAAACATCTGTTGTGGCATGTTTGTTAACTTTTATTCCTCAAATGGGAAAATTGTTTGAGAGGAGCATTACCTGATGCTGATCTCTGTGAAACTGCTGGCCCTGCTTTTAGCGAGAGAAAATCAGAGACATCCTTTGCATTTTCCTTAATGGTTACATTACAGACCAAGCTAAAATAAAGATCAAAGATTTATACCACGGACATAAAATGAAATTGAATGAGATTCTCATATTAAAGCACACGGAGGTGGGCGCTAAATAATAGAAATGGTTCTTAAAAAGGATTAAAATACCAAAGCACTGAAAAATAAGAACATTAATTCCTTGTAAAGGTCATTAAGTGGTCAAAAATATGGAATGGGTAGCAGATGTCATAGCACAACAAGTACTTACCTGGTTTTGCATTGGGTTTCCAAGATGCTGCTCAACAAAGCAGAGCTCCAGCCCTATCCTGCGTGCTCCTTCCATCCACATACCTGCAGCAGCAAAGCTGGAGCCATATTAAGGATGGTTCATTCAGATCAGCACATTCAGAAGATCAGAATTCACATCCCAGCAGTTCTTGCTGGTTTGTGGTATTAAAATCTGTGGTCAACAAATACTGATTGTTTTAATTTTGGACGGCTTGGAAACAATGGTGGTTCTCCTTGTCGGAGAGAGCCGAACTGGAGTGAGGTGAAGGGTCAGCAGGAGAGTGAGAAAACCAGGGCTTAGTGCAGCACACAGAGAGAGCCAGTAAGCCTACGGTGTCATAAACAGAGCAACGATAACAGAGATAATGACAGGAATTGGGACATGGGAACGCATTGGTGGCACCCACCTGGGGCAGGCGTTGGAGGAGAAGGGTGTGTTGTGGATCTTGCTCTTTTGCAAAGCAGAGTCAGGCTGAGCCTCGTGACTACCCGTCATTTCAGCAATTTGTCTTCATTTTTTTGTTGTTGTTAGAACTGATTCAATAACACATTTTGGTCAAAATATTTTTAATCGAATATTTCATTCTGAATGCTGTTCTATGTTAAAAAATAGCAAATTACTTAGCAACTAGAATGAAATATCTAGAATGAGGGTCAGACCTTTTTTTTTTTTTTTTTTTTTCAGATTCTAAGATGGAATTAGAGGGGTTTTTTTTTAATCTTTTTGTTGTTGCTGTTATGTTTTAAACAAAGCTCTATTTGTTTCCCCAGGCAATTCAGATTTGCCAGGGAATAAAAGAAATATATTACCCACAGCATGGTACCATATAGGTAAATTATAATACAGAACACTGAGAAACTCCATTACATTCCCATTCCTTTGTCAAAGGCAGAACTGCCTGGTTAGAGTAGTCCTTGTATATCTAAATAATATCTAATTCTCAGAGAAAGCCTACTGGCGTGAAATCAAAGCTAGCTGTATACAAACAAGGCAATCCACTACTGTCAGAATCCAGAATATTCATTACCTAGGGAAAAGGAAAAAAAAAAGAAAGTGAAAAGAGAGAAGGGAAAATAGATACAGTATTGTAAATTCACAAGAAAATTATTTTTTCTTTAATGAGAAAGCATCCCTCCTCTTACAATAGCGAGGAGGGAAGGGGTCTGACTTCTCTTCAGCAATTCTGATCTTGTCAAGGAAAATCCACATGCTGTATACAAACATGCCTATCTGAACTAACACTGCAAATCGTTTCAAAAGTAGTTTTTCTACAGGATTGCCTCCTGAAATCATAAAGCCTTTAATTAGAGCTGCAGCACAATACGTACGTGTGCGTAATTAAAACAACTCATCGTGGTGAGATGGGGATTATCTGATGCGTGCCAGACGTCTTTGTCATCCACTGTTTTGGGGAACAATGTTATTAAAGGAAAATCAAATTAAGGATGAAAAATAATTGCAAAATATATCAAAGCATAAAACAGATGTTAAGTGCGCAGAATAAATAGCTGAAGGGAAAAGCTTTAAAATATCCCAAGAACTTCAAAGAATAGCTCGTATTTCAAACATTTTTATCTGCTATTCTTCTCCCACACTTTCTGGTGTGGAAACAGGCTTAAAATTCAGAGATAAAAAAAGAAGTAGATGTTGTCTTTCATTTCCAAATATGAATCGAGAATCTCTGGAAGTTGTAAATGAAAGATCCACCTCCTCCAGAGCTCGCCTTATCAGAACACTTATATATAAAAGAGAAAGAAATGATATCATTCTCAGTGGCCTTTACTTCCATTCGGCACAGTTTGCTCCTCCTCCACAGAGGTGAGCGCCGTGCAGTGGATGTGCCACCCTCAGCTCCAGGAGGAGGTGGCAGAGCCATGGGGCCAATGGGGAGCACAGAAAGACGAGGATAGTCCAAAATATCCTCACTGGACAGGAATCCAAATGAAATCCAAACGGATGACAACTTTTACTTCCCGGTATTTATCTTCAATAGTCCTTTTTCGGAGTATTTTGCAAAGATATTCAGCCTTTTGACTGAGCACACGCATCAGACATCATAAAATGCAAGGAGTAACACTATTCAATAAAAGAGACCTTAGCTGCAGAGAGGTTTTAGCTTTTCTAAACCTCATTTGTAACCAAGGGTAAAATGGAAGAGTAAATGGAGGAACTTGATAGCTTCATGTCAGAAAAGACATGAACCGTGACACAGCAATGTCAGCAGGACTAAAATGAGCTGTTAAAGTACCTGGAGTGAAACAACACAGAGTTTCTGAAGTGACAGATCACAAAAAACCCAAAAAACCAGACCCCACTGACAATGGGTCAAGAATGATGAAATCTGTGCCTCGTTGCTGCTCCGCACTGGGAGCTCGACTTTTAAATCTTCAGTCGGAACATATTAAATTGCCTCCAAATTAAAGTGTCAAGGTAAAACCCAACCGCTGTTGTTCAACAGCTCAGTAAAAGCCATTTGCAGTGAGGGAAACAAGAAAACAAACCTCATTCTAATTTTCCTGGTAGCACCTGAATGTGAAGAACGTGCCTTTAAACAGAGGCATTGCAACTGCGTAGATGCGACGAAACCGCGTCCCTTCCCCTGGTGTGTGACAGCTCTGAGTGCCTGCCAGGAAGCCTTAAATATGAGTTTTGAAGGGAAGGCATGATTTAGCTTTTGCAATATCGTATACAAGTAAAATCAAAAGCGGGTGAGTTTATTGACCTTTGAGAGAAAAGTCTTCCTGCAGCTGCTGGCTGTTGAGGTGGCAGAGAACAAGGCATCCCAGCCCTGCTGATTATTGAGCGAATGACTTTTCAACTGTTTTTGCACTACTTCACGGACCGTCTTGGCCTGGTTTAACAGTTTCCAGCTCAGTAACTAAAAAAGAAGGAAGTTCTTCATTTTTTGAGGGCGAGGAAGGCAAACATTGCACGTGCCCTATCTGTGGGGCGACGGACACCCAGCCCTGTGTCCTCAGGAGCCATCAAACCGCCACACGGTTGGCTTGGAAGCTACACTACCATGCACCTCTGCCTCCACAGCAGGTAATAGGGCTGCTGGGGATCTCACCAATCTCGTGGGGGAAGCTCCTTGGATCACCGGCTCCGAGCGGAATCAGTAAGCTCTACCATTTCCTCATGCTGCCCTTTAGTCTGACCTCTGTCTTTTCCCTCCTCAGTTTACGTATCACAAAGCATCCTGGTGTGCTGAAGCATGCACGCTCGCGTTGCAGCGGCTGTCCTCCCATCACCAGCCAGAGACCTTAAACTCCTTACTCGCTGAACTGGAAGTTAAATTTAAATTGAGTGACTGCTTGAAGCAATGGATAAGAAGGAAAACACCCCTTCTTTATGAACTGCTTCTAGCTGGTGTCAGCTATCAAGATTTTGTTATCTGCTTACATGGGCTGAGCTTAAAGGCGTATTTTCTCTGTTCTGACTGTTTTGAAAATTCCTTGGTGTTTTAATTGGCTTCATATTTCAATTCTTTTGTCAAAAAAGATTTGTTTAAAAAGCACCACCTCACTTCTCCACAGATTCCTCCTTCTTCAGCCTCCTCAGGGCTGCTCACTCCCTGCAGAAGTTCACAGCTCTGCAGCTGCACTCATGGCAAAGCCTTCAATCTTGGTCTTGTATTCAGCAGGAGAATCCCAGGAAAACCCACCTGTAACAACCTGCCTGTTATGTCTGCCCTGGATTCCAGACCAAGCTTTTCATTTCTTCCATTCCAATTGAAGAGCTACAAAGAAAGAGCCAGGAAAAGCTCCAGCTGGCCGCAAAGCAGCAGAGCCACAATGGAGTCCTGTGCAGGTTGCAGTTTGCAATGGTGACTCCAGGCTCTGGTTCCTCCCACTCAGCACTGCTGGGACTGCTCAGCCCGGGCTGCTCTCCCTTAGATCTGGGCTGCTTGGAGGCAAACTGCACTGCCAGGGGCTTCGTGCCCCCAGGAGCTGGGCTCGTGGCCGAGGGGCTGGAGGTGGCTTGTGGCTGCCACCCCAAAGCCAGAGCAGCACCCGCAGCTAGGGCTCCTGCTCCTTGGTTCCTGAGGATTTGAATAAAAGTGAGCTTTCTGCTGCATTTCACCTAGCATTGTATAACCAACAGTGAGCATTTCTGTTTCATTCTGATATCTCAGCCAGGCTAGAAATATTCGGACCTGACAAAACTCACCTGGTTTCAGACATTACAAGAGAAAAGGGGAAATGCTGGTTTTTCTCCTGCTAGAGGATAACAGCTTGCTGCAGTAAGCTGTGGGTTAATGCTCTGCAGGAAGAAACAATGTGAATGGCCACTTCTAACTATGGCTCCATTTCAAGTCACTTGAAATCTGAAAAGAAGGTCAGCATGCCCAGCCAGGTTCCTCTGTGCTTTGCTTTTATTTAGCTCTGCTACCCAGAGTGCTCTTCATTTCCTCAGTCTCTGGTGTGAGAGCACAAATGGAGTTGCAACCATGACATTTTATGTTATAATATTCCTCTTCTTATTGCCTAAATTATGATACCATGAGTGAATTCAAACCACAAGTCTCTATTGATCTGTATCTCTGTAACTCACAATACTTTTTTCGAGCCCTTGCATGTTTACATCTGGCTGGAATTATTTGGAAGTCTGTTTACAAGCTGTCCAATATCACTGAAAAGGTTTTTTCATGTGCCTTGAGGTCACGTAGACATAAAGGTGAAACACTGCAGGAGCCTGTTTGGAAATGCTCAAGGACAGAGAGCAATTACTCGTAGCATTGGGACCAATAACGGGAAATCCACAGAGAACTCTAAAGACCTCAGAAATAATCTCAGCAGTGTACTGAGAATAGCAGGAGTCAGGAGAGAACTTAAAAAAAAAAAAAAAAGAAAAAGAAAAAGAAAAAAATTAATGCAATTTGCTCAAATTGTGTGCTATTAGATTGAACAAAAATCAGGAATCTCAACCATTCCCTGAGGGCTTCTTGTGTGCTCCCACTGCCACTGTCCCCAACACGTGGGGCTCCACTCAGGGCCTGACCCACAGCCACCGCCTGACAGTGAAAGTTCATACTGTGTTCCCCACTGTGCAGGAGTTCCAACCCATCACCTCAGCCTCAGCATTCATTAATTCAGAAGATTGTCACCAAGCAGTGCTGAGAGCAGTGAATCTGGGCAGGTCAGGATGCAAAGCGTGGGGCAATTAACCAGATATCATCCTGCAATTGCATTAGTAATAAAGGAGGTCCAAAAAAGGAGTGGGAAAGCCATTAGCCAAGTAAGCTGAGTGTTTAATGAGATTTCCTTGCTTCCATCTTCATGAAAAAGGCCAACCGAGAGCAGATGGTCGGCACAATAATACTGTAACAAAGAGGGAAGATCGTAATCTCCCAAAAAGGGAACAGCAAGAGTGCCTGGCTAATTTAGATGTTTTCAAATTGGTTATGCTGATGAGCTTTATCTTCACTTACTTAAGGAACTGTCTGAAGCCATATCAGAACCTTAATTATCATAGTGGGAATCCGAAGAGATGGGAAGAAGAGACGCTGCCTGGAAGGACATGGAGGTGGGATTGCTCTGCATGTCTGCTCGCTATCTGTCTATTCAGGGAGCTACAGAAGCACCACGACACCAAGGATCAGCAGCAGGAGCAGCCCTGTGGGATGGCCGTGGAGCAGCAGTGCCCAGCTGCAGCCCTCACCATTAGCACGGCGCTTGGTGGAGAGCAGGCAGAGCTTGCTAGGAGACCATTCATTTCCAGAAAATGGCTCTCTTTGAACGGAAAGGATGAATTGAGCACAGTTTCAGAGAGACCTGCCTTGAGCTCAGCATTATTAATTTTTTCATTAATGACTCGGATGACAGAGGAAGGAATACGCTTGTTAAATCTGCTGATAACGCTGTGCAGGGAGGGACTGCAAGCACACAAGAGGACAGAATTAAAACTCAGAAAGGTCTCGACAAATTGCAGAAATAATCTTCTTTAAAAAGTGTGTTACGAGGGACAGTGCGAGATCCTATGCTTGGGTAGAAATAATCAATTGCACAATTAAGGGCTGGGGAACCGCGCAGGCTGCAGAGCGGGCTGGGAGAGCTGCTCAGTGAAAGGCTGTCACTCTGCAATGGGTAAATCGAAGAGTGCCCTTCAAGATGGGGAAAACAGTCTTTCTGTTATGTTCAGTCCTAATAAGGCCTCAGTGCCGAGATGTATTCTGCCTTGCAACTGCATGTGAGTAGAGATGTGGACCAAAGGGAGCGATTTGGAAGGGGACAAGATCAGAATCTAGAAATCATCCCCCCAAGGTGAAGGGTTGAACAAAGCCAGGGAACTGAGCCTTAAAACAAACAAAGACCGAAGAGAGAACTTGAAAGCTTCAAGTATACCTAGGATAGCCATGAAGAAGAGATGATCCATCCTCCAGGGCCTTACTCTGCCTGCTGTGAGCTGGGTGATGGAGCTCCAGGTAAGCGCTGGGGTGGGAAGAGAGCGCCAAGGAGCCTGGCCTTCTGGCACGCTGATCCCCAACGCATCTGTGGATATTAAATGAAAATTTCAGGAAGGTCAATTAAACTGTTCATGGATATTTAATAAAATGGAAGATGAGAAAAATAATCAAATAAATTACTTGTTAAAAATTATCACTCAATTTTACCTGCGGTTCATTACTGACTCAGATTAATGAATGCTGAAAAGATATTACCCTCCTATGAATATTCAGACTTTCCTGCCTGATTGCAAATTTTCAAATGAAAAATGCAGTATATCAATTCCTGATGAAATTTTTAATAGAGTCAAATGCCCTTCAAGTAGAATTCCCATTTAGAGAGAGCATAGTGGTGCACGGTGCTATGGGCACCTTCCCTGCTGGGATCACAGGACACCACACCATTGAAGAATTAGCTTGGGAACTCAGAGCTGAGCCTGGCGTGGGGAAAGGCGTCTGTTTCTCCACAGAATTCACCATGCTTCAGATGCATTATGTTATAAATAGTGATAACTGTGAAAAGACCTAACCCTCTGCATTTTGTGGGCTTGTTTTATTCATTTTCACCTTCAGCAAAGGAAGCATTTGCCAGGGAAAATGCTTTTGTACCCTGCAAAAAAATAAAATCTGTGAATCACCGGGGAAGTCAGGTGGGAAAGGTCACCAACTGCCTTCTGTATAGCAGCAGACGTTTATTTTATAGTTGTAGAACCCGAACTCGTTCATGTGATCGTCCGCCTTTAGATTTTAATAGACAGGATTTGGTGAAGGTGAGAATCTTATGTTTCTTCAGGGAGAAGTAGAACAGAGGTGACAAATAGCGGCTGTTCCCTGTCAAACCGACTTACATGGCACTGCTAAGTGAGTCTGTTCCACGAGCTGAGCTCTGGGTGTGGGCAAACATGGGGAGAGGCACTACAGAACAGCACAGCAGCCCACAGGGTCAGGTTGTGCTATGCTCCTCAGGGTGACTGAACCCAAGCACTGCTGGTGAGGAGCTGCCTCTGCTGTGGCCCCAGCACCCTGAACTGCTGCTTGGCAGAATGCATCTAAAACTCTTGGGGCCAAAAATACCCTGGTAGGAGAAGGGTCCCAAGCAGTGTCCCAATCATTGGGAGAGAGGTCCTGAGAGATTTGAAGTTCAGAAGGGAAATGGGAAGCGTGATGCGAGTCAGAGCAGGACTGCAGAGCACGCTGTGCTGGGAGAGGTCCTCCACCCTTTTGCATGAATTGCAGCATGCAATGGTGATACCTCCCCCATGCCCGAGATTTATATAGCTATGGGAAAATTATCTTTGCAAGCAGTGATAACAATCATTTACTTCTTGTGGAAAGCTAGGTAACTAATTTCCTCAGTTCCTTTGGAAATCCCATCCTGCTCAGCCAAGACAGCTGGCGTGTTTATGGCTCTGCAAGAGCCACCCTGTCCTTCGCACCGTGCCTGCACAGCACTGCTGGCTGCTGTAAATAACGGCCCTCAGGAGCGGCATAAGCAGGAAAATTCCCTCCTTCAAAGCATTATCAAGAAAGAATAAACGAGTTACTTAAAGCCAAAGTTGGTGATTTAAGCTAACGCACTTCCCATCTGGAGCCAACAGGAACATGCGACAGCTATGACGGCAATCTTGGGAATGCAAAGACCTTCATAAAGCCTCATCGACTTGCTTGCTGTGGGCTTCGTGCTTGGATGGTGGATTCCTCAGGTGGACTGGCCCTAGGAAGACAAAGGTTCAAAGGAAAATTGCATGCAGCAATCCTGTTTTCCCTCCAGCACTTGAATCGTCTTCAGATTCTGCAAAGCCAGATTGCTCTGTTCTCTAAGGTTATTAGGAACTTCCATTTGTTTGTGAAATGCTGAGTTAAATGGCTAAGCTATTTAGTTCAATTCTTAACTCTGGAGAGTCATCTTAGATTCTTCTCAATCTTTTCAGAAATATGCAGCGTACTCAGGGATAATTACATGCAGAAACATCCATAACTTGCATGTGCGTATACACATGCACACATTATCTACTGAGCAATTACATCATGAAATCTGTGCAATAAATATTGTTTGCATCACATCCGATTACTCTATGGCATTTGTTCACATGGGATTTTCCTGCTTTTCAACATCTGATATCAATCCTTCCTCCTAATGAGAAGAAGCTGGCTGGAGCCCATTTCGCACAGGTCTGGCATCAGGACCCAACCCACAAGAACACCTTCATTTGCTCCTTTGCCATTTTCACCAGCTTCCTCATGCAGATCAGTTCTGAGGAGGTAGCCTCCTTTCCCTTGCTATTCTTTGCTCTTATTTCACTTTTCATTCTTAACTTCTTCACCCACTAATATTTCTACCATGTAAGGTTGCTACTTCTCTCTCACCATTCTGGATGCTCTGAAGGTCCCAGCAGCCCCTGGAAGTTTCCTGTTGTCTCTGCAGGATGGGATGTGCATACATCTGTGGGTGAAAGGAAGGGCATGGAGCAGTACAGGGGCCGGCTGTGCCCCCACAGAACCTGTCAGTAGGGCATGCATCACAGCAGAGTGCCATTCAATTTACTGTGCCCACGTACTCTCTTCTGCACCTCTCTCATTTTAGGCTGTATTGAATTGCTTCGCTCCCCAGAGAAAGCAATATATCCTTCTGGCATTCGACTTTTATTCTTTTTTCAGACAGAGAGCCCCCAGGTTCACTTCTTTTTTTGGCCAGAATTACCTCTTTTGTCAACAAAGTACTGCCTTCTATCACCCAGAAACCAGGCAGCACCTCTCGCTCACTTCACCGTGTGCCGAGGTGTTTCCACCTCAGTCTTTAGACCATTGCTCTTCTTCATTCGTGTAGAGTCAGTGCTGTAACAATACTTTTCCATAAGCCTCACAATTAACGACACCCACATGAGGTATATTTCATGGTGCTCCCTGATGCCCAGATGTCCCCGCCTGCTGATTTCCTGACCAGATGCTGCTGCCAGACAGCTTTCAACGCCCAAGTTCTGCCTGTTCTGCTTGAGAACAGCTCTCTCCTTTTTTTTTTTTTTTTTCCCCTGAGTGTTTTACTGTTTAATTATCTCTTTCTCTCCCACTGTAAAATCTGGGGACCAAAATAGCTTGAAAAAGGCTCAGCATTTCCAAGGATTTCACATAAACCTCATTTTCTTTAAAATCTAGGTCGAAATCAGTGCCAGGGTGGGGTATCTGTGGTTGCACAGGAAGGTGGGGGGCAGCTCCCTCATTAGGAAATGTAGGCGGGTGCGGAGCAGCTCTCACCTCAGAAAGCCTGAAAAAGCAACAGAGACACACAGCGAGTCACGCTGGTCCAAATGCAGATCTGGCCCAAAGAAGCGTGAATTCCCCAAATGGGAAAATTATATGCTAGCTCCTTACTGGGCAGGATGTGATACAGATCTGTGTGCCTGGAAAGGCAAACCTGCCAGCTTGCACCTCCCCGGCTCCGCTCCACACACAGCGATTCCAAGAAATTATATGTGATAAATGACTTGTTTTCTTTGTGCTGGTGTTCAGGTGTCACTGGAGTAGGAAAGAGGAGAATTACAGCCTGCACTGCTGCTGTTATTATTATTATTTGGCAGTAATTCCTCTAACTTTCTTCCCTGGAGGAAGACATGATTGGCTGCTCTCTTGCTCCCAAGGTCATCCCACCAGAAAATATTAGCTATTTGCTTCTATTAGTTTCAATTATTGAGGTGCAGCAAACCAAATAATAGTCAGTGTTCAGTATTTCATGGCTTACCTTCGGTGCAGGACCGGAGCCCTTACCCCAAAACAGGGCACTGCCAGACAAGAACCAGCACCAGCAGGCAGGCAGGGATCCCCCCTCCCATTGCATTCCACATGTAGGCTTTGGTGGGGCTTTTGCTCTTCCATTCTTCTGTTTTTCTATAAAAAAGGGCATCTCGCTGTACTGAGGGGCTAAGCGGATTAATCCTAATACAATTATTGCTCTTTTGGCCTCCTTTGTAGTCCTTAGAAGGTGTGAAATAAGTCATTTTCCACAGTTTTATGGGTACAATATACATATGCCTGATAGCCGTGATGCATTCCTGTGCTGCTGCTCCCTTTCTGCTGCATTATTTAAATCCTTTCTGACTCGCATTGTAATACAACATCTGTCCCCTTTGCCTCGTCATACAGTAGTGGGCGGTGTGTTATTTGTTTAAAAGACAAGGGAAATTTCATTTCAAAGTACAAGCGGTGACAATAAGACACATTTAGATAAATCATCCCCCCCAACACGACTTCCCAGCCCAAACAGCCACAGACACTGCAGGATCCTGGAGAACCAGGCTGGGGAGCAATCACCATATCCAGCTGGCAGCTCCAAGTTGGACGCGGCCCCAAGGAAGGGAACAGGAGGGCACAAATGGCCCCAGGTCTCCTGTCCTGGATGTGGCTGCCCATCACATCCGTGTGTTACAGCCAGCACAGAGGTCAGTCAAAAACTCAGGAATCACAGGAGTCACTAAAACATCCAAAGATGCTAACGTGAACTAGTTCAGGAGGTCATTTTCTTCTCAGTTATATTTTCACAACATTTAGCATTGCTGTTCCTACCTTTCACTGCTCGTCTCGGCACTCCCTTCCCCAGAAACCTCAGCATGGAGACAGAAGAATATTTTGCTTTTAGCAAATAGGTATTAAAAACCTAGCAGAAAAGTCCTAGCCACAAGGAAAGCACTGCTGCATCTTCAGCAAGCCATCCTTTAAAACAGCAGTGCACAAGCACTGTGAGAGCCACACATCCCCACGGAACACGGCCTTGAGCAACACCAATCGTTCTCAACAGATTAAATTAGACAGAGCATTCACAGAGGGGGACATCTGTCTGCCCTCACAAACCCAACATGAACATCAGGCAACTGGATGCTGGCAGGCACCAACCCTTTAGATGGAGGTCAGCAGAGGCAGCAGTGGTCGAGATGCTGATCTGTGCGAGAGCCACAGCGAATGCCACCAAGGCATGGTGCTCACGATAAGCTGGCAGAGTTGCAAATGTCCCCAGAGCAGCAGCGTGCTGCCGAGGCTTCCCTGGGCTCTGCTGAAGGTTTTCACTGCTAAGTTCTGGTGTATCCGTGGGCT